TATGGGACAATTTAGCACGGCCAATCCACCCTAACCCGCGCATCCCTGGGCACTATGGGACAATTTAGCACGGCCAATCCACCCTAACCCACACATCCCTGGAGACGACTACAGGGCAGATTACTATGTGAGGGGTCTTGCTGTGCACAATTGGCTTGTTTCATTTCATACGACAGTGACCGCCCTTCTGGGGGGCCCAAGCGGCTGTGAAGCACGGTCAGACATCTGTTCGCCATGAAATGCAAATGTAAACTCTTTTAAAATAAATCTTTTATGGGCTGGTTGGTTTTATTGGGGCGGGCAAGGGGTTGGGGTGTGTGCAGTTATCAAGAGCGTTCCCATTCTGTCTGTGGTCCCTGCAAAGTCAGAACCAGGGCTCCCCCCAAGGGCATAACCTGGAAATGGCGGCCCCAACCGAAGCTGTGCATCCCCAGAGCAGATAAGCTCTGTCAGGGAGGGAGGGGTGACATAGATGACTTGTCCTTATTGTCCCCACTTCCACTCCCCAGCCTTTCATTTAATCAACATCCTCTTCCCTTCTCACAGAAACACAGAAAATAGGAACAACAGTAGGCCACTCAGGCCCTTCAAGACTGCTCTGATTACACAGGATCATCCAACTCAGTCCCCTGTTCCCGCTTTGTACCCATTAGCCCTACAGCATGCGGTTAGATTCACAGTAAAGCTCCCTCTACACCGTCCCCCCTCAAACAGACCCAGGACAGGGAAAGCATGGGGTTAGATATAGAGTAAAGCTCCCTTTACAGCATTCCCCACTCCCCAGGACAGGGACAGCACAGGGTTAGATACAGAGTAAAGCCTCCTCTACACTGTCTTCATCAAACACTCCCAGGTCAGGGACAGCACAGGGTTAGATGCAGCGTATAGCTGCCTCTACACTGTCCCCCATCAAACACTCCCAGGACAGGGATAGCACGGGGTTAGATGCAGCATAAAGCTGCCTCTACACTGTCCCCATCAAACACTCCCAGGACAGGGACAGCACAGGGTTAGATACAGAGTAAAGCCTCCTCTACACTGTCTTCATCAAACACTCCCAGGACAGGGATAGCATGGGGTTAGATGCAGCATAAAGCTCCCTCTACACTGTCCCCCATCAAACACTTCCAGGACAGGGACAGCGCGGGGTTAGATACAGAGTAAAGCTTCCTCTACTCATGCAGTTGTCTCCACATTGAGAAACGAAGCGTAGACTGGGTGACTACTTTGCAGAACACCGACATTCTGCCCACAAAAAAGACTCTGAGCTTCCAGTTGCCTGCCACTTCAACACATAACCCTGTTCACCGGCCAACATCTCTGTCTCAGGCTTGCTGTAATGCTCTAGCAAAGCTCAGCACAAGCTGGAAGAACTGCACCTCTCTTTCCACTTGGGGACCCTGCAGCCTTCGGGACACAATATCGAATTCAATAACTTTAGGGCCTGAACACCTCCTTCCGTGTCCTTTACCCAACCCTGCACCCCAGAACCTGTCACTATGTGGGCTGCATTCAGCAAAGACAACACATTCTCATCCACTCAGGGTCCCCATTAGTAGCTTCTCTCTCCCCCTGGGCTCACCATTTCTTTGTCTGTTTAATCGTCTTTATCTCTCTCTGAGCTCCATCTCTACCCATCTTCTACCTCTTCCCCCACCCCAACACCACGTTCAGCATATATACAATCAGTTCTAAAGAAGGGTTGCCAGACTGGAAACGTTAACTCTGCTTTCTCTTTCTCTCTCCACAGATGCTGCCAGACCCTGCTGAGTTTCTCCAGCAATTTTTGATTTTGTTATCTGAATCTTTTTCACACAGAGGGTGGTGCGTGTATGGAATGAGCTGCCAGAGGAAGTGGTGGAGGCTGGTATAATGACAATATTTAAAAGGCATCTGGATGGGTATATGAATAGGAAGGGTTGAAAGGGATATGGGCCAAATGCTGGAGAATGGGATTAGATTTATTTAGGATATCTGGGTCGGCATGGACGAGTTGGACCAAAGGGTCTGTTTCCATGCCGTACATCTCTATGACACTATGACTCTGAAATCCTTACCAATGCTCCCAGTTCTGGTCCTGAGCCGTTCTGTCAGAGGCTCTGTGCTTCCAGAGATGGGACATCATCCCGAGTCTTCCAGCTACACTCTCAGGCTGAGCCAAGGGGACAAGTTCAAAGGAAAGGAGTGTGGGTTTGGGGGTTGGGGAGGGAGTGGAGGGGACAGGGATTTGGGATGCTCTTCTCCTGCCTAAACTGATATTCCATCCCTCAGCTTACATGGCAGTGTGTTTGTATGCATGTCGTGTGTGTGTAAATGTTTTGTGTGTTTAAATGTATATGCATGTGTGTCTGTGGTATATGTGTATATGTCTGTTGTCTATGTTTGTGTGTGTGCCTGGAGTGTGTGTATGCTTGTACATGTCAGTGGTGTATGTGTATCTATGGTGTGTGTATGTCTGTGGTATTTGTGTTTATGTAACTGCGTGTGTCTGTGATCTATGTATGTGTGTATGTATGTGTATCTGTGACTGTGTATGTTTCTGTGTTTGCCTGTGGTGTGTGTGTATATATTTCTGTGTGTGTATGTGTGTATTTCTGTGTGTGTGCTTGTGTGTTTCTGTGTGTGTGTGCATGTGAGTGTATGTATGTGTATTTGTTGGTGTGTGTGTATTTATGTGCATGTGTGTGTGTTTATTCTTTGTGTGTGTGTGTTTATTCTTGGTGTGTGTGTGTTTTTGTGTATCTGTGGTTTGTGTGTATGTGTCTGTTTGTGTCCAAATGTGTGTATTTCTGTGTGTTTATCTGTGTGTATGTATGTATATGCATGTCTGTGGTGTGCCTATATGTGTATTTCTATGTGTGTGTTTATTCTTTGAGTGTGTGTGTCTGCGTCTGTGTGTGTGTGTGTCATTGAGTTTGCTCTGTGCAAACTGGCTGCCGTGCTTCCTATGTGTTTGAACAATGACTGTACTTTATGAGCTGCACCTCACTGATGTTCTGCAAAATGCCTCTCCCTCTCTGCCTCCCTGAAGTCTTTACCATCCCTGCCCTGAAGTGTCTGTTTCTTAAGCTCTTTCCACACCTCGGCCTGTCCCCTCGTAGGGGGTGGACTGAGGCAGGAAGTTGGAGGGGGTGCGGTGGTGGCAGAGAGCAGAGTGGGAGGGAGCCATGTTTTTCCTAACCCATTTAACCTGTCTGCTTCCCTCTCCACATTCCTTGTGACATCCTCACCACTTGCCTTTCCACCTGCTTTTGCGCCATTCACAACCTTGGTGATGCCACATGCATTTTCCTCATTTAAATGGTTAATATATGCAGTAAATAACTGTGGCCCCACAACTGCCCACTGTGGCACATCAGTTATAGTACCCCCCACTAACTATTGGTTGCATTCCGCTGTCAGTTGGAGTGTTCCCATTGGTTACACGCTCTGGAAGTTACAGTGTTCCCATTGGTTACACACGGCATTAGTTACAGTGTTTCCATTGGGTATTCCGTCTATTACATTGTTTCTATTGGTTATCCACTCTGTCAGTTATAATGTTCCCATTGGTTACTCTGTCAGTAACAATGTTCCCATTGGTTACTCTCTGTCAGTTACAATGTTCCCATTGGTTACTCTCTGTCAGTTAC